TGTGCATCAACATGATATGTTGTTGCTGTTACTTTGAACTGTCATGTAACTGACTATAGGTACAAAGAAATGTTCACAAACTGCTTAAGCTAAGTCTGCCTTTCAGATCAGCAGCTCACATCAGAAGGGATTTTGGGCACAATCTGGGACATCAACTGCGCTTGTTCCAGTGCAGCAAGTGCATGGGCAAGTGGGGAGCAAGAACTTCCCTGTACTCTGGAGCTGGCTGATATTTTGACCTTAAACAGCAATTGTTAACTAAAGGATGGATGGAATGCAATGGATGTAATGGTAAGGGTTGGAAGGGACCTTAAAGTTCATGTGGTTCCAACGCCCATGCCATGAGCAGGGACATCTTCCACTAGATCAGGTTGCTCAGAGCATGTGCAATAGACCATCTTTCATCCCCTCATTTAGACAACGTTGATGATACGGGGTCAGTCTGGCCTGAGACCTGAGATGAGCTCCTCGGTACCTCTCCAGTCCTGAAGCCAGAGGTCCTTCCACGCTGGCTGAGGGTTTGCCCAAATCTTCCGGCAGAGCCCTCCGGGAGGAGTCTGGCTAGAGATGCCCGTCTAGCAGCTGCCAGACAGATGCTTGCAGGCACCTCTGGAGAGGCTCAGTACAGAAACGGGAAATCCCTGCAAGCATGTAGCTTTGCAAATGAAACCAGGTTGCTTTCAACCAGGTGAGAGCCTGATGGATGGTGCTGCTGTGCCTCTGCCCCTTCTCTGGGCGCTTATTCACCAATGAGGGTGGTGAAACACTGGAACGGGTTGCCCAGAGAGGTAGTGGAGGCCCCATCCCTGGAAACATTCAAGACCAGGTTGGACAGGGCTCTGAGCAACCTGATCTAGTTAGTGGTGTCCCTGCTCGCTGCGGGGGGGTTGGACTAGATGACCTCTAGGGGTCCCTTCCAACCCAAAACTTTCTATGATTCTATGATCCTTTCTGTAGGCCCCTTCAGGTACTGGCAGGCTGCCATAAGGTCACCCCGGAGCCTTCTCTTCTCCAGTCTGAACAGCCCCAACTCTCTTAGTCTGTCCTCGTAGGAGAGGTACTCCAGCCGTCTGATCATCTTCGTGGCCCTCCTCTGGACCCGCTCCCACACATCCATGTCCTCCTTATGTTGGGGGCTCCAGAGCTGGACGCAGTACTCCAGGTGGGGTCTCATGAGAGTGGAGTAAAGGGGCAGATAATCTAACAAAACCTTCCATCTTCAAGCACTTAGCTTTACAGTATGTAGTTGCTCCTAAATACTCACATGTATTTACTCATTTTGTCATCGTCACTGAGATTCCTCACTGCAGATGAGAGTGGAGACACGTGAGGACCTTCTCAGAAAAATATCTAAGTTCTGAGAGTGGACATGTGTGGGACTTAGGGGAACATAATGAAAAGTATTTGACTTAAAAAATTCTGTCGTCCTCGAGGATGTGGAAGATCCAGGAGTTGTGGAAGAGGAAACATGGGAGAGAGAGGACGTGACAGAGGAAGAACAGAGGACAAGGCAGAAAAGGAAAAAACACTGAGGGGAGAAAAATAAACAAAGGTGGGTGGAAGTAGCTCAAGAGAGGAGACAAACTGGCAGAAAGTATACTCAACACATACTTTGTGATGCAGTTCTGTGGAGCAGTTTGAGAACTGAGCCACCAGCAAGGCCTTGTTTAGAGGCAAAGGTGTAGTAAAAAAAAATAGTCAACATGCAAAGCAACCCATCCACCTTTCAGCTCTGCACTGAGCCAAGTTTTCCAATTGTAACCCCTCCTCTAAGAGCAGACCGCATCAGGTTAGCCCTTTTTTGTTAGGACATATGCTGAACCCTGAAACAAGTGGTTATTGAGTGGAGATGAAGAGTTGCCAACCAAAGAAAAGGGGGAGCAGAAGGTAAGCATAGCTGGAACAGAAAGTAAGGAAAGAGATTAAATGAATTACGAGAGCAGTTATTTGTGTAGCTGTTCGTTCACACAGCTTTAAGTCAAGCAAGAACTGTACTGACATTTTAACAGGTACTTGCCTGGGGATTGTGATATGAAGGAGGAATAAGGAAGGGGGTAAAAGCAATATCCCAATATCCTGTATTTTACGTAGCACATAGTAGAACTGGGACACTCAACAGGTGATGGAGGTTGTTTTAATCTTCTGAAAGAGAAGTGACAAAGGTGTCTTGGGAGGCTTGTGCAAATATAGACAACAGGCAAGTTTAGCATTGTTGCAAGAGCCATGTAACCCATCTGGCTTTGTGCATACTTAATCCAGCACATACTGCCCATTGTGATGTAAATTTAAGTCTGTTCGTCTGTGAAATATGTAAGTGCCATGGGTGATTCTCCAGCTGCAAACCCATTGGACTGAATTTGTAGGTCTTTCTTAGAGGGTGGGGAAAAAAATCCTTCAAAGCATTCCTTAGGAGTGTGTTTATAATATTCTAAAAATAAGGAACTTGGTCATAATCTTCATACAGAACTCCGCAAACAGTACTTTAAACAATTCTGCCAATGTTTTGGAGGCACAAAGGATCTTGGTAGTTGCTGGTATTCAGCTGTTCACCTCATAAAAAATGAATGATCATGGGTAAAGGGTATGGATTTATGAATTCAGTGTCTGATGCCTTAGTAACTTCTAAACAAAATGATTATTCATGTGGTTATCAGGAAGATGGAAACTTGTACGTAATCCCTTTATCCAGATGCAGGGGGGAGCTGCGATGAAACTATCAAAGAAACTGTACAACCCTGGAAGCAAAGAAACACAAAGTTTGGAGTCATGTCCACATCTAGTTTCTGCATTTTCTCTACTCTCAAAAAATCATGTGCGGGGTTTTTGTTTGCACGCATCCAAACAGCAAAACAAAAACCCCAATAATACATAATTATGAAACTTCTGATTATCGGGATATGAAGCTTTGCATATAAAGTTTTCTAAGTGCAAAAGGATGTTGCATGTACGTAGGGCTGGTTGCCCCATGTTTTTCCATTAAGCGTTTTTAAGGTTTTCTTTTTAAATGATTGCTTATAGCTCTGTCATTCTTTGCCTGAAATGTTCTTTATCAGGTGTCTGCTCTGTGATTGTTCCCCTCCCAGCCCAGCACACCCGGAGCTTCAGCAAAATGGTTAAGCTATTAATGATACAGTAAGGGAAAGTGTGTAGGATTTACAATGTTGAGAAGATCTGTCAGTGCCATGCAGGAGGGACACAGTAGAAAACAAATGGCTATCTTTACCCATTCTTTTTAATGCAAGCAGATTTTCTTGGTCTTTTTTCCCTTAACCAAATAAGTATTTATTCTTACACTGCCACCATAGTTGTGTTACTTTGTCTGCTAAAAACTGAAGGTGCTACTGCTTTAGACTGTAGATGGTATCATCACCGTCTGTCATGGTAAGGACTGGAGACTTTCTAGGACGCAGCTGTAAATGGCTATGAGGTGCTGAGCTTCATCTCTTCCAGCCTCTGTTTGGTGTCAAAGAGAGTGTGTAGGGACTGCTTAGACTCTTAATTTAGTAAAGAATCTCAAAGTTTGTCAGTTTTCATACAGTATCATTACTGAACAACAAAACAAACCCAAACATATTCTAAGGTCAATGTAGTAAATATTCTCAAATGTACCCATATCCTGGTATATCTAGCATGAGAAAGACAGTTCAGTAAAATTACCTATAGCTGGTTTGTCCCCAGCACTGGCCTTTCAAAAACAACGTACAAAGGTACGCAGTAACAGCTGTGTTTCCAAGATTGTGTCTTTCTAACTTTCTGTTCAGAAATAATCACTAATTTTAGGTTCCTAGGTTGCAGATATTCAAAGCTAGCTATTTTTTCACCTTCTTTTTAAAAAGTCATAATGTGGGTGTCTTCATCTAAGCTAGTTGTTTAAATTCTTTGTAATCAAGAAGGGAAATTAGTACTCCTGGAGAGTGACTTATTTCAGCTGATGTCCACAGAGGGATGTTTCCCTGGGTTGATCAGAAGGGAGGCCAGGGGAGTAGTCAGGTCAGGTGGTTACCTCTGATCTTGCAGATGTCTATTTACATGCTGAGGGAAATGATTCCCACTGGCTGCGTGAATATTTTTCTTACTAAGTGTATTGATGAGATGAATAAGAGGATCTGTTGCAAGAGTGCTGTAAAGTAAGACATACAATTATTACAAGTACATTCTACAAATTTCTGGATATCATTAAAATTACAAATGTAGACACTTTAAAACAGCCTTTCTATTTACCTGTCAAGACCTGATTTTGATATTTTATCCTTCTACAATAGCTGATAACACTGGAACACCCACATGAATGCTGTTTGATAGCTTTGTTTTGGCTCTTACAATATCAGTTCTACAACTTCTCGAAGAGAAATGCAGCCCTGAAATGAATGTTTGATTGCTTTGGAGGTCCTTAGTTAGCTTTAAATACAAACTGAAATTCTACTTTGTTCATCTCCAAGATAAACAGATATTTTCTGAGCTCTGTTTAAGGAACCTTGCCTAAAATGTTTTAATTCCAGTTTCTTCTGAGAACTTTTTAAAATTTTTGATTAAAATTGTGAATTTTTTTATTTCCTGCAGCGGGGAGTTTGGGGAGTGAGGGACAATTCTGTGGTTGCAAGAGTTTAGAGGGAACTGTGTGAGCTGACAATGCTCTGGAAGAATACAGAAAAGTAGCATATATTGGTGAATTAAAATAAGCCAGGATGACTTTCTCTCACACGCCTCCCCCTCTCCTTGCACAAATCCAATCTGTTTTCTCTAGCTGTATCTATATCACTTCCTTTGAAGCCAGTGGAAACTAGGTATTTATCGTCTCTATCAATTATAAACTGGTCATTGATCTTCCTAAAATCATGAAGGTTGACACTTTGGCCCCAAAACACTTGGGAACTAGTGTTCTTAGGCAATGTTATGCTTTCACTATAGTTGGCTGTCTCTCCTGGCCCTCTGTTACTGTATTTTGTCTATTATTTTTTTATTCTAGTACTGTTTTAAAAATAACTTTTTTTATTTTTAAGGAGCTCTACCATGTACCAAATGGAATGTCTCCGGGAAAGCTCTCTCATGGGATGGTGTATGGTGTTGTGCACCGAACTGACAACAACCATAAGAGAGAAATGGTGGTTTATGGCTGGTCAGCTGATCAGCTGAAAGAGGAGATGAATTACATTAAAGAAGTGAGTTATGCTTCAGCTTCAAAATTTGTCAAATATCCTTTCTGTACATACATGTAGAGCTGTGAGTGTATATGTGATGACCAGTGTCTAGCCCAACACCTGAATTTGAATTGGCAAGCTACTCTGAAGCTAAAGTCTTGCCTCTTTAATATTCAAGCTGGAAAAAAAAAAGCATGCTATAAACCTGTGAACAGTGCGGTCCAGACTCAAGGCCTCTGTGCCGAGTGATACTTGTTAGTGCTTGCTGACTGGGCTACAGCTGGGCAAGCAAACTGCCAAACAGAACTTGGGGTTCCTGTCCTGATGCCTTCTTAATTTCAAATGTGATACAGAATAAACTATGAAAGCAGACAACTGAAAGTATAAACTCTCTTCCTCTACTGCCCCCGTCCCCAAGCCCCCTAGTTTTGAAAAGGCTACTAAATTAGGTGACATAGTAAAATCACTTGGGTATATTCTGGGGCAGCCTTAAAATAGTCAGCCTAATAAGGATGACTTTGTACTACTTTCTCTGTGCATGCTCATTTATCATAATTGGCAGAAGCCCTCCTGAAAGGAAAAAAATGCATTTCTGATGCTGCTGGTTTCTGTGTTTGAAACTCCACGTCTCTCTGCCTGTCAGTCCTTGGCTCTCAGGCTTTGACAATAACCCCCAAATGAGCCCAGGGCAAATAGTTTGACCTTCTCTTTACATCCACCTTCACCGTCTGGGAAGCTATTGGTTAATGGTTATCAGGTTACACTGATTCAAGTGCAAACTGAGTTGACATAAAAGGGAGGAACACTGAGTTTAGTCAGCAGTGCAAGAGACTGTAATTATGTGTGCTCTTAGCATCTGCCTGGTCTCCAGCTATCAGCACTTGCTTCTCTCCTTTATTACTCGCACTTTGTCGCCTCCCAGCATTCACCACTCTCAAGCTCCTGCACTCCCGGTTAGGGTATGTCACTCCTGCAGTGCAGGCGAGGCGTGTGAGCTGCTGCAGCTGCGGGTTTCCTGCCTGGGCAGCTTATCTGCCCTGCTGTGGTGGTGGGGATGGGCGAGTTGGCACAGATTGCTTGGACTGGGACCATCTTGCTGCCCTTTTCTGTTCACAGCCGGCTTGGGGCATGGAGGGATGTGTCGGACCAGGTGAACTGCATGTCTTGCATGTATGTTCAGGGTACTGATCCCTTCAGCAAAAAGTGTGAAGGGCATGGGAACAGACATACTGGCCCTTGCTCTCCCATGTTTTGGAAGCTGTGTTCAGCTATGCTAATTTGTGGACTTTGGTCTGCCAGAGAAGTTTCATCTTTACTTTGAGTCCTCAGCTTGTGCCACGTGTGTGCTGACTTAAGTAGTCCAAAAATCATGGGCCACATCAATACTGCTGACAGTTGCCTCTGTATCTGAGTCAAATTTGGACCTCGCAAGAAGCTGTATGTGTGTGTGTGCGTGTGTGTATGTGTGGGTAGGGACAGCACAAGGGATGCTTGCCTGAGCTGAAGTGCCGGAGTCAGCTTCTTTCCATAGTTCTCATCCTAAAGGGAGCAGGTAGTTTGGAGTAGGCTTGTGCCTACTGCTTACATAGATCTGGTGACCAATGCCCCTTATTCTGGGAGGGTGTGGGTACACTGCAGAGCTGCTAGAAACATCTCTTGCGTAAGGCCCTTTGAAAGTTTTCCCCTCGCTCCTTCCCCAAGCCCATGCAGAGACAGGTGAAGTCACTGCCCACATTGTCTGCAGTTGGTCTGTGTTTGATGGGGGAAGGAGTATGAATTACTCAGCTCGAAGGTAGACTGTAGGCAAACATTAAACTAGTGTTTACAATGGGTGCTCTTGAGAAGATTGGTTCTGTGCATGATTGCAATGGCATGTAAACCCAAGGTGGCTTCCAGTATGCTGCTTCTCTTTTCGCTTCTCTTCGAAAAGAAAGGTATAACTTACATCCATAGTTCTTAAATAAAGTCAAATTGAGTACTCTGTTCTTCATACTTGAAAATGCATTGGTAAATTTATGCTAATATGTTGTTTAGCTAGATATGAGCCTAAAAGTCTGAAATTAAAGGGTTTTTCTTCAAAGGATACTTGGGGAAAACTAATTAACCACTTCAAAAATGATGAAGGTTTATTTAATCCATGTTTGGATGCTTTTTTCCAGAAAGAAAATATTATATGCTCAAATTAATTTGAATTCATTTAATAATCAGGTTAGAATGAATTTCAGATAATCTAATCAAAATTCAATATTTAAATTAATTTACAATTGTTTAAGTGTGTGCAGAGAAGTTTAGAATTACTCAGAGACGTTTATTCGTATCATCCCTATGTAGACAAGTCTTAAGACTTAAGTTTTTATGTTATTCTTAAGATTAAATTGCTATTGATAAAAAGGTAGATTAATAATGGAAATTACTGAAAGTAACAATGAAGAACATACATAGAAAAAAAATCATGTCCTAGTATAAGCAGTATCATCAAGAAGTTTGATAAAGGCATTTGATTTTTTTCTGACACCAGGTGAGAGCAACTCTGGAAAAAGTAAGAAAGAAAATGTATGGTGAATATGACGAAATGAAACGAAAAATACAGCAGCTGACGAATGAACTGAAAGTAAGTGTATGTTCCTTTGTAGGGAGAGCATATGAGAATAACTGTCCCAATGTTATCTAGAAAGTTTTTTTTTTTACTTCGGCAGAACAGAAATAATTTCTCAAACCACTCCAGTTCATTGTTTTATGTGACATCTATAATTTTCTTTCTTTGTTTATTTTTCGGTCCAGGAAGGTAAAGTACGACAGGGGTGCTTTTGCATATGGAATTACTAATTGCCTGCTTCTTGGAAATAAAGGAATGATCTTGATAGCATTGTCTGTATGTATTGGTAGTTAGTGGAGATGTTTGTAACAGTAAGCTGCCAGGTAACTTGAATAGATAAATTACATAATGAGGAGTAATGTGCAACTTAGCTGGAGTCACTTCAACAAATTTTGCTCTGTTTTACTGACTTTAGTTTTTAAACACTATAGTAAAGGAAGTAGCAATATTCTGTAGTATTAAAGAGCTTGACAGTTCTAAAAATTACTTTCCTTTTGGTCCTTGATTGAACCTTTCAGTGGTCATTCAATGACCTTTCTCTCTTCTGACGCGCTGCTTCAGCAATAAAAGCTGCTGCAGTCTGTAGAAGTATCCTTCATATTAAACTGCTGGGTTCTTTGGTCCAAAATATCTCCCTAAAAACTTGCTGTGGGTTTTATATTCAACATTGATTTTCATAGCCCTGGTCCAGGTGAAGCTTTGGCGGTGAAACGTATTCTGATGTCAAGGGACTGGGACCCTGGCTTGTGCCCTTCTGCCATCCTCACTTGGAGGCTGTCAGTTCCCTGCGTGCTGTATAAAGATCAGAACTTGCTGTTAAACTGGTACTTTTATTCTGTGGCAATTATTCTCAAAAAAACAACAACAAAAAATCAATCTGGCTTGAGAGGAGGAGGGAGAGAAAACTGAATATCTGTAGACTGTGTTAAATAGTCTTCATGTTGCCAACAAGGTGAGTCTCCCACACAGTGTACATGTAGGGAAATGCTGATTCAGATGCAGTTTTGTTATCTTTGCTGCTGATCCTTGCTGAATAGCAGTGGTGATATCCTGCACCTCCAGGTCTTCTGCCAGACTTGTACAAATCCTGCATATGATTCTGAATGTCTCAATTAACGGTTTCTGACCAGCTCTGACAGAATCTGTAGTTCTGCAGCTAATTAGCAGTTTATGAAGCACGCCTGACACAAATGGCACATTATGAGACACCCTTCCCCCTTTTTTAATATTTTAGACTGCCTGAAAGAAAGCATAATTGTTGTTCTACCTAATAATATATGCTTTTTTGTTTGGTTGGTTTTGGTTTTACATGACTGCCATCTTTCATGTTATTTGGGGATCCTGTTTAAAATCCTTTATATACTCTTTGCTTCAGCTTTGAATCACTATGCTTTTATCCTATCAATTTCCAGGACTACTTTTTGTTAATAAAATTTGTTTGAAATATGTACTTCCAATATCCTGCCCCGGGCAGTACGCTTCCTCACACAAGTTCTTATCTTGTAACTTTCTTCAACCATCCAAAGCATTTCTGGTTTTGTTCATTTGTTTGTTTTCATATGAGCACATGTTTGTATAGGGTTAACAGTAACTATTTGTCTTGTGCTCCCTATGCTGACCTAATCTGTGTATGACTTGGTTACTACACGCGCATTGTTCTCTGTATCAGTCCCTAGTGTTCTTACGTTTTTATCAAGAATCACAGAATCATAGAATCATTAAGACCGTAAAAGACCTCTAAGATCATCAAGTCCAACCGTCAACCTAACACCACCATGCCTGCTAAACCATGTCCTGAAGTGCCACGTCTACACATTTTTTTGAACACCTCCAGGGATGGTGACTCCAGCACTTCCCTGGGCAGCCTGTTCCAATGTCTGACCACTCTTTCAGTAAAGGAATTTTTCCTAATGTCCAATCTAAACCTCCCCTGACGCAACTTGAGGCCATTTCCTCTCGATCTATCGCTAGTTACCTGTGAGAAGAGACCAACACCCGCTTCACTACAACCTCCTTTCAGGTGGTTGTAGAGAGCAATAATATCTCCCCTCAGCCCCCTCTTCTCCACACTAAAAAGCCCCCCAGGCCCTTTACCAGCCTCATTGCTGTTCTCTGGACATGCTCCAGCAACTCAATGTCCTTCTTGTAGGAAGCTTGGAAGCTTTCCAGCCACTCTTCCCTAATCCTGTAGCGTTGCGTGGGGTTGTTGTGACTGAAGTGCAGGACCCAGCACTTGGCCTTGTTGAACCTCATACAGCTGACCTTGGCCCATCGATCCAGCCTGTCCAGATCCCTCTGCAGAGCCTTCCTACCCTTGAGCAGATCAACACTCTCGCCCAATATGGTGTCGTCTGCAGACTTACTGAAGGAGCCCTCAATCCCCTCATCCAGATCATTGATAAAGATATTAAACAAGTCTGGCCCCAAAACTGAGCCCTGGGGAACACCACTTGTGACCGCCTGCCAGCTGGATTTACCTGCATTCACCATCACTCTCTGGGCTCAGCCATCCAGCCAGATTTTTACCCAGCGAAGAGTACACCTGCCTAAGCCATGAGCCGCCAGCTTATCTAGGAGGATGCTGTGGGAGACAGCGTCAAAGGCCTTACTAAAGTTCAGGTAGATAACATCCACAGCCTTTCCCTCATCCTCTAAGCAGGTCACCTGGTCATAGGAGATCAGGTTGGTCAAGCAGGACCTGCCTTCCATGAACCCATGCTAGCTGGGCCCGATCCCCTGGTTGTCCTTCACATACCTGGTGAGCGCAGTCAAGATCAATCGCTCCATGATCTTCCCTGATACCAAGGTCAGGCTGACAGGCCTGTAGTTCCCCAGATCCTCCTTTCGGCCCTTCTTGTAGATGAAACAAGTTGTAGATGAAACAAATCTGGTCCACCTAAGAATGTGAGTAGGGCTGGCCTCCATTAGCAACACTTTTTTTCTCTGTATTATTGGATGGTTCATAATTATTTATACTGTCTGGGTTTTGGTCTCTGCTTAAATTATGTCATTTTGTGCCTTATTTTTCCCCTCCAGTTTTTAAGCGTGTGTGTGTACATAACAGAAGATGACAAATTTTCACAACAAAGCTATCTGCTGACTCTGTACGTGCTTCGTATTGTTTCATCCTTGAGTCTTCTTGATGTTGCTTCTTTATGTACCTGATTAGTTCCTTCTGAATTAAGGCTATTCTGCAGTTCACCCAAACCTTTCTAGATTTCCTCATTTCTTGTATTCTTCAGCTTTTCAGTCTGTGACTTTTTACAGTCTGCCCACACCATGTATGTAAACTTTCTGAATAGATACCTGCCAAGTGTCCTCTTGTCCTTTCAAAAAGAACAGCTTTTACAATGATTGCAGACTAGCAATAAACATAGATACTTGTGCCTGATTTCTGTTAGCATATTTTTTCCTAAGTTTTGTTTATTTGTTTCTGAGGTGCAAGAATATAGTTTGAGGCCTGTATATTTTAAGCATCCTAGTACTGTGAAAATTAACCATGGGGTCTTTCTCTTCTGTAGCTCCCTTTGAAAGAATAGGTAAACTTGATCATTATTCTATATAAAACTTCTTTTTTTTTTCCCTGCTCAGGTGACAAATGCTCATCAGGAATCCTTAGAGAATCATGTGCGAGTGCAGGCTGCAGCCTTAGATAGCTTTAGTGAAATGAACAGCTCCTTGACATCAGCATCAATAGAATTGCAGGTACATTTTAATAGCTGTTTCACAGCTGACAACTGCCTTTTCTGACATGTATTTAAAAGCATACATAAAACATGGATGACAAATATAGATTCTAACACTAAACAAGCCCATAAAGTACTGTCTTGGATATCTGAGGCAGCTAATTTAGGAAACTAAGAAAAAAAAAATTGCAACACCTGTGTTTTTTAAAAACTTGTTTAAAAATTGTGTACAACAAAGAGATACTGATCTGCAGCAGAGTAGTGCCACTAATCATGTCTCTGAAATATCTAAGGTGAAAAAGTGATTTGTTTTGTATTGTGCAAAATGGTACATCTCCTGACTTATTCCTGCCTTTGCTGGTTAACAGAAATGGAAGTGGCATATTTGGATACTAAACACTTGTGAGTCTTTACATACCTGTGAAATGTAGGGGGACTGATAAGGTTGGAATGGATTTTCTGTTTTAAAGACTACCAAATTCCCACGTATCTCAGCTGAACAACGTAATGTTGCTGCTTTCTTGTATGTCACAGTTTTTCTCGGTCTAGCGCATTTAATATGTGTAGCATGGCCCTTGGAGGGAAGAAAGGAAGATAGTTCGGAGTAGCATTCATACTGAGATGTATCCATGTTCCTTTTTTTTTTAATAGTGTTCCAGGACTTGATTTCACTCACTATATTCCTCATGGAAATACCTTCTAGCAAACTAAATAATACAACAAAAGCCATATTTTTAAATGTTAAACCTTGCAAAACTGTTCACACTCCATTGATACATCAGGAAACGCTCAAATGTTCTGTCTATTCCATAAACTCTGGACTATATTGGTTCACCAAATTAATTGTGATTTTTAATATGTGGTTTGCCTTTTTCTTCTAGAAAACTCTAGTGGATGTTACATTGGAGAACACTGATATAAGGGAACAAATAAGGAATTTAAAACATACACATGAACAGTCTATGGAAAAGCTGAGAGAGAAGCAAAAGCAACTGGAAACAGCACAAATTGAAAATCAGTTACTGAAATTAAAGGTGTGGTATATAAACTCCCCTAAAAATACTGCACAGTAAGGGCACTAGGAGTATGTAAAATGAATTCCTTGGCCTTATTTGTAAAGGGTTCTTCGTTCTTCATGCCTTCATTATTCACTAGACCTGACATTCCTGTGAATCAATACTGGTTTAATAACAAAGAATCTCAACTGGCAGCAGTCTATGTTTCCATAACATGGGATTACTAATCAGGGGTGTTAGCAGCTGAAAATTCAAACTATTAAATGGTTATTATTGTCCATTGCTGTAAGTAAAGGAATATTGTAACTCTGCACAGTGCTGTAAGAATTTCTTTATGTTGAATTTATTTATTTGGTATTGTACAATTTTTAATAGGTAATCTGTGAAGTCTTACGAGTGTCTTGGAAAGAGAATGAAGTTATTTCTTTCAGAGAAATCCAAGAGAATAAAACACAAACAGGAAGGTTTTATATGCCAGAAAGCTTGACCATTTTTTCTCCTCATCTGCAAAATGTATTCCTTTAATCTCATTTTAAAAAAAACCACCAAACCTAAACAAAAAAAGACTCTTCTGGAAACCTTTGTCTCTCTTAAAACTGCTCAAAATAGACTAATTTGGATATAGTACTTTATCAGAATTTGTCTCTGTGAAATTAGGGTGACTGCTGGTTTATTCACGTTTAATTTTGTCGGAGAAGATGTTTCTTTCTGGCACTCTAGTGACTTACATTCATGCTTAATAATGGATTGTTAAAAAAGAAAATATTAACATAAGTGAATTTCAACTTACAATTCATGTTCTAGTTTCCTCTTGTGGTGAAGCTTTACAGGCTATAGAAGTAGCTGTATTTTTTACCTCTTATTGCCGGCAGAAACAAAAAGAGGGAAAAAACAATTAAAAGAAGAAAGTAAAGCTGATGCAATTAAGATTTCAAAACAGAAATTTGGACTTTACTATAGTCTTAAGAACATGCACCAACAAGTCAGGGAAAGGTATGTCTGCTTCTAAGGGCAGAGAACCACAGGTTAAGTCCCAGTTCAGCTGAATGCTTAAGGATTTTTTTATCTTCAAGCATGTCAAGGTCTGCAGAAAACATGCCCTACCTTAATGAGGAAAAAGTTTAAATTTTGCTCTCAAAGTTGCAGTTTTATAACAAAGTTAGTGGATAACATACCTCATTGCTATCTTTGAAAGTTAAACGTGAAATTGTATATCAAAGATGCCAGCACGTCTGGGATGTAATTTCAGGGGTGAATTTAAGAGGATGGTGTGGAATCTGGGAAGGTTAGCAGTTGAAAAGCAGTGACTACTGTATGCCATGACTGTTTTCTGGGTAGGAGAACACACCCATGTATCTTATTAAGTAGGTTCAATTTATTCCTACAATCATAACAATAACTGAGGTTGGAGACGTTGCTGAAGAGTACTATAAGAGATGCCCTGATATGCCTAGCTTTTTATGCTTGTTTTTACTCTCCTCATTGCTTAAACTGTAAGCAAAGGAATGATGGAGAGACAGTGCCAGAGATCATATTCCAGTTCAGTGTCTTAAGGACTCGGGGTTTTAATTGTTGGCTTTTTCTGAATGGTACGGTTCTTTCAGGCTTCCTGAAATGTGTTTTGTGTTGTACTGAAAAGTAACGTAACTCCACTCCCTCTCACAAAGTGCAGTTTACTACTCCTGCCCCAGTGTTGGTCTAGGTGAGATGCCAAAGGGGGCAACTGCAGTACAAGTGGAGTCCTTCAGAGCTCAGTCCCTTTTGAAATGATCAAATACACTGTTGTTAACCTACAGGGTAGTAAAACAGCTTGTTCCCACCATACAAGACAAACACAAGGGTTTAATAAATCTTTCAGTCCTTGAAATGAAACACCAAGCCCCAAATCTTTAATCATCAGAACCAGGTATTCTGTAGCTGTGTAAACTGTAGTGATCAGCAGGGAACACTGTATTCTGCTCCCAGATGACAGTATATTCCTCCTCTTCCTGACATTTTTGTAGCACCCACAGCATATCACAATAACCTTGTCTGATTTATAGCATCTCTGGTAAGAGAACTAAGTCCTGAACTAGCTATTTTATTTTGCTTTTATTGCAGTTTACAGGGTAGATCAGTTTAAGCTGTGAATATCCTATCTGGTGTTTCATCGCTGAGGGTGTGGTTCAGTGTTTTGAGCCAAAAGGAGGGGGAAATCCTGTCTCTGAATTACCATTCCTGCCCTCTTCCCTGTAGCAGTAGTAAAGTTTCTGGTCCTGTGGTTAAAAATTAACCCTTCCACACCCCTGAGTATATGAATTTTAAGTCTGATTGTTCCCTGATGTGCTTTGCTCCATGGTCACCCCAGTTCTTATGCCTACACAAAGAGCAGTATGTGAAAAAGCAAGAGAGAGGAGGGAGGGTACAGCTGTGTGTTCCAGTTAACAACACATACTTTAGGTCCAGCTTAAAGTAATTCTTGCTTTGAGTGTTCATGGTCATTTAGAAACAGGAGTTGAGTCTAGACCATCTCTAATCTATGCTTCTGTAAAATGGGGAGAGACAATATCTATTCAATAGTGAAACAAACCAAGTGACTTGGAGGCTGTTATGGAAGGGCGCAGTAAAGAGGCACATCCTGGTCGTGGGTAAGTAATGACTAGTTACATTCTGACAACCTGAGGCTTGATGAAATGGTAACTTCTACAAATTCGAATGACTTGCATACTGGCAGAGCGTTGTAAATGGTCTTGATGCAAATGAAAATCTGCTTCAGCAGTGTCAAATTTGTAACAAGGTGGAACTGAGGTTGAAAGTGTTATTCTCACATCATGTGAATTCCGTTTCTCCTACTGCCAGCAGCGCTGTACTGACTGATGGGTCAACTTTCCCCTCTCACAGGTGGAATCATCGCAGGAGGCAAATGCTGAAGTCATGAGAGAGATGACAAGAAAACTGTATAGTCAGTATGAGGAAAAAATGCGAGAAGAGGAGCAGAAACATAAAGCTGAGAAAGAAATCCTCCTAGTATGTATAGCCAGTCTGTAAGAGTGGAACTTAGCTTGGGTGTCATTTCTCAGTCACATAGTACTCCAGAGTTGACGTGTTCCTTCACTCCTATCTCTGTGACTAGTCACGCCACAGTTATTAAGCTTTCCAAGCTTTTGGGGTTGTAGGCTGAGAAAAGAATGTGTTCAAACACAGTAACAGTAACGATAATGTAGATTTCAAAATTTGAAATGGAGTAAGTTATTTTTTTAACTTCTGATTCTCTAGAAAAAAGGAAAATATAATGTCCAATTTTAGTGACAGTTTAAGAAGGGGAGGGGGAACAACTTCACTGGATGCTACTGGAGCAAGAACTCTTCCTGACCCTTGGTTTCCCTCCACTCCCAAGTAAAACGTTTCTGTGAGCTGTGAGGCACTGCATTTTTCTAACTGACAAAGATAGATAATGACTGAGATTGAAGGTAGATTCCCCAGTCTCTTTCTATTCGTATTGTTTTATATGTGAGGAAAGTACAAAGCTGAATGTGGCGAACTTTGGTGTTAAAATGCTGTCTTCTGCAACACTGTATGTTTCGTAGGCTGTTATTTCATGGCGTCCTCAGAAGGGAAAACAAATAGCTAAGAAATGGGTGAAAGTTTTTGCCAGATTTTCATAATGATACTTTACAAATACCTATGCACTTCAAAGTGCCCCAAATCTTTTCTTCTATGCAATTCACACTCAGAGTGACAACTTCTCCAGACTTCTGGGCAGATGTAGTGGAAAGCTTTGAGCTCTGTTTAAAAGCTGTGAGCTTGGCTCTATGGCCTAAAAAAAAAATTAAAATTCCTCATTAATATGTTGGATGTTAATGTGACTCCTTATTTGAAGGAGGAGACGAATCGGCTTCTGAAGGCTATTGAAGAGGCAAATAAGAAGATGGAAATTACAGAAACAAGCATACAGGAAAAAGACCAGAGAATTGGTGAGCTGGACCGGCTGATTGAACGCATGGAAGAGGTATGAGAGTTAGTTGATTGCCACCTTTAAAGGAAATGCAGAAGTGCATGGAGGAAATTTGATGGATTCCTCCCATGCCCCGCCCCGCTGGTCAGTACCCTGCTCAGTGACATAACATTGCTGTTTGCATCTTACTTAGTTACTGTATCCATATAAGTAAATGTACCTGGACTACCATACAGACGCTGTGATTAAGTGGTTCTTCCATCTTTCTAGTGGTCTTTACAGTCAGGGCTGTCTAAGTTGTCAAAAATTATTTAGTATATTAACCGTTATTTTAAAGAAAGAGTTTAAAAAGACCACTCAGTCTTCCTTCAGAGTGCAAGGTCTCCTAAACCTAATGAGGAAGTAATCATAAATGATCCAAAGTCTCTTAGAAATTCTGTTGGTAGGTCCATTAAAATGTGTTTGAGTTAGGAATAGACCTTACAATTTAGCTGTTTATAGTCTTGGTTGGAATTGTATTTCATTTCCAAGTTTCTCCATATGTGGTTGAAATGCTAAACTGAAAGCTTCAGACTTGCTATTTAATATAGAGAAGCAGAAAGCATTCTAGTAAGTGGAAGGAATATGATCTGTTCTCACAACTGAAATGTTTTTTTCACAACTTTAGTTTAGTATAGTAAATACTTGCTACAGAGAAGTTTTTATAAGCCAGCCTTGTTGGCTTGACTGATTAGTCTCATGTGCATTTGTATTGAACCCTTTTTGTCTAATGCTTGCAAATCTATTAGTAGAATTATTGATTACACTGAGAAATCATTCAGCTTAATGTGCCCCTTTTAGTAGCTCCATTAACTGCATCTGGGCTTCGGCCTACAACTTGTAAGTATTGTGCAGTGAATAAAGGATTGCAATATAATTCTTAAGTACAGATGAGTTTCTTCACATTGGTTATTTAATTTGCTGTTATCTGGCTGATACTTGCAGAGTAAAACCGCATGCCTCTTAAATTCCCATTAAAGTGGATAGCAGTCTCCTCTGTTAATTCGTGTTGACTCAGTCCCCAAGCCCTCACAGATTTTCATGATCACTGTGCTGGTGGAACCTGAGAAAATAAACAGGAATATTTTTTGCAAGAAAATAGAGCAATACCTTTTATCTCAGCCTTGGATTGAGAGGTCTTTTTGGAGGAATATTGTGGAAAATTTGACATTTATGTAGGTAGAGATTCTGATGACTCATCTTTTTATTAAAAAAATTCAGTTTCAACTACAACTGTACATCTTCAAATAGGAAATTGAAAAATATGATCTTATTTCCGTGCATAGCTGGGAATTTGATATTATGCATTCTGTGCTGCTTGGATATAGGAAATGCATGAATTTTGTTTAATCAGTTTCTATTTTAATTTCACAAATGATCTTTTGAATTGCAATGAAATATGTTTTGTGAAGTCTTTTACATTTTGACACATGGGGAACTGAAGGGTAACATTTCTTGTTTAGGAACGTCACCAGCTGCAAAAACAACTTGAACTAAATGAAATACAAATATCCGGAGCAAAATCTGAAAACAGCTCTGACAGTGAAAGGTGAGATATGTCTTGTCTGTGGAACTCCTAGTATTGCTAGGGAACTTTAGCAATTTGGTTTTTTGTTTGTTTTTTAAGACACCTCAATTTTACTTTTTCTATCTTGAAAACTGCAGTCTGGTAGGTATTGTCCATCTGAATGTAAGTTTATTTACATATAAAATACCAAGAGGATTAATTTTTGCAACAAAAACCACTTTCATGCATCCTTCTTGAAAAGTTGTTTGCAAACATGCAGAGTATGTTTTAGATGGAACAAGCTGTGATGTATTTGTGGATTGCATTTATCTTAAATCTGCATTCCCAAATTCAGCATAGTATGATCCTGACTATGAATACTTTCATTATCTCCTTCTAGACTCCTCAACACAGTTTTAAAAGGGAAGATGTTCTGTATCTTGTGTTAGGCTATAGGCCATCTGCTTTGAAAAGATGAACTCTTGAAATGAGCACGAGTTTTGCATACAGATGCCACTGGTGTCTTGTTCTGTATAAGAGATGGAAAGTGGGGAATATGTTTGAGACTTGGAGGGGAAGGTCTACACGTGGTGCGCATTAACATACGCACACAAACAAAATGAAGGCATGGAAGAAATCTGTCATGTTGCATGCAGCGCAAAAATAAGCTATGAAGTTACTTGGGGAAAGTGAGGGTGATGTTATTGGCAATGAGACCTCTGTGAATGGTTGTTCTCGAAAGCATGAGGCTTAGAAGAAAGATCTAGTGGTGTGGTGGCACCTGGATGTGCTGTTTCTGCCCACAGGTGGCACATGCATCCATTACTACCTCTTTGAGACTGACAGAGCGCCATGACCAGGCAAAGGAAAGCTTCAAGCAAAGCCAGAGGCAAAGTTTCAAGGGAAATCTGTCCAGCACTGAAACAGCATAACTGCCGTTGGAGTGAAAACTCTGTCTGCCACTCAAATATGACACTACTTGAGTGGCTAAAGATGAATTACAAGCAGAGACTGTATAGTTTTACTTGCTTACTATTTATATTTCTGTAGCACCCAGAAATTCACTTTTAAGGTTTTGGCATCCCGCTGTTCTGTAGGAAGTGTAAACATAAAAGGAGGTCCCTGCTGAGAGCATCTCGCTGCCTAGCTGTATTGATCTGTGACCAGCTTATCCAGTCTTAGGGTAATAACGGCTTTCCACAGCAGCCTGTGAAAATAATAATTTTAAGTGAACAGATGTCGTATACAACATAGAATATGGAGATGAAAGATAATTGCTTTCTTCCTTTACCTCTGGATAACAGATACTCTTCTCGCTTCAGTGAATCCTGCCCTGTGCACTCAGCATGAAAAGTTATGCTGCAGTAACAAGGGTAAAGGCAGTGTTCAGACAGGCATTTGTATAATGCAAGCAAGCACACAGTTGCAATCTATGCAATGCAAGCATTGAATCTGTGTTCAAATGCTGAAGTCTGTTCTTAAGCTTTCTTTACCCGTCTGTACCTGACCAGACACTTGGGCTGAACCTGAGGAAGGACCTCTATTCCATTGTTATCAGAGGTTAAAATTCTGAATCTTTCAGTGAGGCCCCAAATATGTGTTACAATTGCAATCAAAATGTAAATCGAAAAACCTGCAGCAATGCCTTGATTTTTTGAGTCCTTGTTTAAGTGCTGCAGTTACAGTTCTGTACAGTACTTCACTGTTAATAGAGACTCATTCTGGGAGGAAACCGCATACAATTCAGTCATTCATTGGAATCATGTCATACGGTTTGCCATCTGCTGCTTTGCCTTAGAATGATTGTTCTATTTGCAGCTTCAACAATTTCTTCTGCTGTGCACAGACCAAGATGAAAAAAGCCTTTTTGTTTTTGATTCCCCTCCTCCACTTCTCAAATTTTGTCCAGTCCTGAACCTAGGAGTACAGAAATTTATTTTGTAAGCAAGCGATTGCTTTCTTTGAAGAATTTCAAGAATTTTACATTCAGAGAAAAATGGAGGCTCCCATGGCGGGCATGCCAAAAACTTCTTAAAAAACATCTCCCCAGTTTCTTTGCGTATTCTAAAACTACTTTTTTGGCAAGCTGTCAAACCAGCTTGTGGCAGGAGTTCTGTGGGTGTTCAATTTCTGGGTTAAACAGATTTGAAGAAATGCAGAATCTATCTAAAGAGTCGTACATACAAACTTAAAACATCCATAACAAGTCCTGCTGACTGTTGATGAGTTAATACAACTCCAGTTAGCGTTCTGCTACTGTTGGCAGCTATGCCAAATCCTTGACTCAAGGCTTCCCTGTAGTAGGAGAGCTTTTAAAAGGATGTCGGCAGATGTGCTTTTTGGCTTTTTTTTTAGCATCTATTTCCAAAAAGTTTGCAGGTGGTAATAAGTCAGGATAAATGTGTCTTTCTGCTGATAAAGATCTGGTTGTCTAAATGCCTTTCGCTTCAAGGAAAGCCAGACATCTTAAGGAGATGAGCTTTGTCACGTTGTTTAATTGTCAGCACTTCAGGGTCTGAGTAAGCATGCCAGTATGCAAGACAAGGGTGAGTTAACCTGGGTGGAGACAGTCACTTTGACTAAAAGATTACCATTAAAATGTACTGTGGACAAACTGATATCTTTCAGTGGAATTTGACTTACTTACCTCTTGACTTAGTCTTCCTGTTCTATGGTGGGATTGTGGGGCTTGTTCTTGTTTTGCTTGTACTGCATAGCTCCCCACTTATATGCTTAATTCTTCTGTATTCTGCTAGGTCACAGCATTTGGAGGAGGTAGCAGCTAGCCTAAGAGAGCGAATCAAACATCTGGATGATATGGTCCATTGCCAACAGAAGAAAGTCAAGCACATGGTTGAGGAGGTGAGGTCTAGTAAAACAATTATGAGTCTTTTGGGAACACTGATTCTTGTAGTACATAATCCAGAAAGACCTCTGTTATGTGTGCAGTTTCCTTATGCCACCTTAGTTACAAACACAATGGAAGATGAGTTAAGCATGTGGAGCAGGAGGACTAGGAGAAAGCAGTTTAATCCAGTGGCTGTGGGTTATATACGGTGAGCTTTAGGCTGACACTAATTCTGGAACTCTTCATGGTAGTCCAGCAAATATAACATACAACTTGCAACTTAATTTGAAGCGTTCAGAGGGTAACTGCAGAAACAATACAGACTAGTTATTGAGGGGCTCCTTCCTGTGTAGAAGTGGAAGGCAAAAAGTGCCCTTTATTTTTTTTAGATGTGGTTCCTCATAGAAATAGGGGGACAAACAGTTTTTCACCACTCACCTTTTCTACCCTGGTCTTGGGATATCACCTTAGCTGATACAATTTCCTGTAAAATTTTAAGTGGCTTTCTGCTGGAAAGCTGCTCTAACTTACAGGCTACCTATGTGCCAAGAAACTGTTTAGCAGTCAGAAGGCTGTGATTGCACACACTTCTAGTTCTCCAAGTGGATGAAAGTATGGCATAAGAAATAGGTAAAATAAGTTTAAACTGGAGCTTTACAAAGCAGACTGATGGCACTATTACACTGAGCCTCACTATTGTACACAGGATACGCATTCATGAAATATCTTTTATTTGTATTTGGATTTCACGTGTTCACAAAATCAAATGCTTGGAAACCATTCTAGCCTAAGGCATTCTTTCTGCATTAACCATGTGCTATTGTAGGATTTCTGACTAGACAAGAAATTTTTCAATTTTTATCAAGGTGTGTTTTATAGATATATGTATCTCCAATATTTTTATATATGTATTTACCTGTATGTTTTGTTTTATATGATTCTGATGTAGTCCTCTATGATCAGATGTGTGATACTCTGTGGCTTTTACACAGAGGGATGCAAAAGTGTCTGTCTCTTTGCACTAAAATTCTTCTGTCATATCATCAATATAGAAGACTAGTGTAAAGTCTTGAGGTTTTGTTTCTAGTTCACCTTGCCATTTTCACTATTTTCAAGCATCACAGCAAGTGGTCTAAAACTGAGCTAACAATCTTTATACCATGGTATAAAGAAAACTTCACCCTAATAATCCAGTCCATCTAATTAATGGATTATGGGAGCAATTCTTTAATCTGTTTTGCATCTCTGTAGGCCAGTCATCATACTATGAGCTTTTTTGGTTCTAACCAAAAGTTCTAAAGGACTTGTCAAGTTGTGATACACGTGGCAACCCAGATGATTCTAGTAGTACGTAAGGGAATGTTGGCCTAAACTTTGCCCTTTATTACTGAATACATTTTGAACTGCTCAGTGTAACTTTACCTCTAGTGAGCTGCATTGGTATAACAAATACTTTCAGTTCCATGGGGTGTTTTGGCAAAAACATGTGTCAAGCTTGGGACAATGATTATTGTTTCATAAATATTAGGTTTAATGGGTGAGTTTAGCTAGCTGATTCCTTGTAATGTATCTCTGCAGGAGCCTTCATATACACAGAAAGCCCTTCTAGATCTTTTGGTTATCCTATTTAACAAGTAGAATGTTAGATGACTAGCTTGCTACTTAGCTGTCAAATATGTCTACTTTTAATTGATGTCTGATTACCTGCTTTTCAAAATCAATTAAATCTCTGTACAAATCCTTGACTGCTATGTACCCATAGGGAATATATTTTTGCTCTCTCCTTTGGTCCTTGTGGGTTATAGTTTTTCTTCTAATTCGGTTTGCTTCAGAACTGCATGAACACCTGTAGCTACATCTGTATTTTCACTAGTGAGCTGACTAAAGACTCCTGTAACAGAGGTTTTATCAGGTTGGGTGGTACCAAATACATTAGGCACTTCATGTTTTTTTTAATTTTGTGCTGTCCATGGTTTGTGTTTGTACTGTGTTTGAGGAAATATCTACAATATAGTTGGCATGCATTATTTTAAACGGGACGCTTTTAATTAAAGGCCTAAAAATAGCAGCTTTAATAGTACAGAGAAGAGTAGCTGTCCACAGTGGGGGAAGATACAAAGCACTGCAGACGTGCATGCCCTGAGCTATCCTCGCATGTGGTATTTTTCATGATTTTATGCTCTTCTCTATGTAAATATTAGAAAAGTAGGTTTAGGCTCACTTCAAGCAACACTTTCTAACTATGCCGTAGAAGCTGAGAAATCAGTAACAAAAATACTTCTTAAAAGGTAGGCGGTTGAAAAGGAATTCTATCTGAAGAGTCTGTTCTGGAGTTAAGTTAAAAACTAGTGAGCAGCAGCACTGAACAAACTTTCTAGAGTAAACAGGGACAATTCTGTAAATGTGCTACTATTTAATTTCCAGAAAATGTGTTCATCAGGGTCTCTTTGAATGCATGTCCTCTACATTAAATTTAACTGAATGCAGAATGTAATGTCTAAGAATATCTAGAAAAGTGCCATGAAATCCTGCTGTGTTACTTGGTATTGCAATACTTTCATGGCTGGTATCTGTAAAACAATATTTCTTCTTAGGGTTTATGAGGGCATTATAATGATCAATAACTTTCATTTAAATAATATAATTGAGAAAGAAAGAATGATCAAAGCAGCTAGAATGCCTGCTTTCTGAAACAGCTTCTCTGTTGCATGAGAATAGACTGAGAACAGGCTAACCTGGGAAACTCAGAATAGAAGTGGAAAGAAAGTATATAATCAAAATTATCAGCAGTGCTTTTGTTAAAGCTGAAACAAAGCTACTGTATGAACTAGGTGAGAATGATGGCTAAGCCTATGCTTGCTTGACTACAGGATGAGCTTTATTTAGTATTAATCTTGGTATATCTGGACACAGATCTGAAATACAAATGAGGGGTTTATTCTTTTGGTGTAAACCACAATGGGTTTATGCTGTTATCATCTCCAATTTAGACAAAGTGCAGCTACAGAAATGAACATCGTTTCAAAGGAGCGCTGAACAAACAATATGCTGCTTCAAACTCATATGGAGAACTGTGAAAATTGAACAAGTATTGAGATTGATCTGCTGGCTGAAAAATTACAAAATAGATTGCTTTTCAGGCCTTTTCAGGGAAAGATGATGGCTCATTTGCAAATGACAGACACAGGGCATTCTGTAGAAGAACAGCAAGCAGTCAGGAGGAAGTGCAAGACAAGCTTTATAGTAGATTTTTGTGATGCAGTAGGCAGCTCTAACACCTCCAGTGCTGTTTTGATAACATATAAAAATGTGTTAGGAGGCTATGGTCAGTCCCAATGTAGGCATGCATGAAAGGGTACGCTGGCAGAGAAGCACTAAATGTAGGAGTATTAAAGAGTATTAAAGACTTCCTTTTCACAGGACCCATCGTGTTGGTACTGAATGCAGTAGATATGCGACCTATGGAATTGAGCCCAGGAGAGAAGGACAGCCACCATTCAGTGTGGTTATACTTGTTAGCAAGGAAATCATTTGCTTCTAATTTTTTTATCTGAAAATAAATCCTTCCATCTCAGGCATTAATAGAACCTTTTTCAACTTGACCTAGTCAGACCAGTCATAAATTAAATAGGACAATGGAAAATAACTTTCAGAAGAAAATAAATGGAAGAAATAAAATGGAAGTTTGCTGGAGTCAGTGACCTTCAACATCTCTGTGTTAGATCCCATGCACGCCCGTGTTTCAGCCTCGTAGGGATTCTCTGCTGTCAGAGCCAAGATCGCAGCCCATTAGAGCACCAGCTGAGCGGAAAGTTATTTTGCATAGTCTTAAAGTTTCATGTTCTTGTTAGAGAGAGACTGCAGATCATTTAAGGCTGACAGATTTACCTCTTTGTTGAACTTGTTTGTTAAGTAAATCGATTTGTTCCCAGCTTAGTGCAGTAAATTTTGTGAAGTGCTGGCAGTTGAAAATGCAGGACCTGCATTTGGCAGGTGTGTAAAAATCCAGCCCTATTTTCATACTATTTGTACATAGCAGGCTTTCAAAATAAGAGTGAGAAGAGACAGATGGCCAGAGTGAGTCACCCAGAGCTCAGTGGTGAAATCAGTGAACAGTAATAATGGTAGACTCGATTAGCTGCCTTTTTTGTTTTTTAAGCCCTTGCCTTTGTAACTGCCTTAAAGTACGGCTAGGCAGAGAGGGATTTTCAAAGACAATTCAGGAAAAAGCCAGTTCTATCAGAGGGAGAGTTTGCAGGGAGACTCAGAGCGTGAAAGGTGTAAGTGTGCAAACTTCAGGCCCTTCCACTGCGGAGTTTCCACTGCAGAGACGGAATTGGACAGGCAGACACAGGCACAGAGGTGCTGTGGGAGGGCATGGGAAGCTGCTACATCATTGTTTCTTTCAGGGTTGAAAATGCTGTTGTTCTGAGAGAGGGGTGAAAGCTTGTCTTATAAGTTATCTATTTGATATGGTCAATCAGTTTATCCTGTCTGTGCCAGTGTAGGAGGTGGGAGAGAGTTTAGTGTAAGACAAAGCTAAAAGTCTTCAAATGAAATACAAATCATTGATTTTAGATCAGCAGCAAAAGTATTTCCTGGCTTGATCTCAATTTCAAACCTGGAGAGATATGAGAGAGCTTTAGTTCTGAGGTGTATGCAATTGACACTGAAATGGATTGCAGCTTCATGGCACAATAAGCTTATTTTACATGTAATATTGTTTCATTGTTAAGAAGCTGAAGAAAGAAGGAAATAAACATTTACGTTTTGTAAGCAAGGCGAGTGGGTGGATGCAGATATAGAGAGCTGTTCTGAAGGGGACTGAGAAGGGAAAAAAATATTTGATTCCATGCCAAGAAATTACCTACAGAACTCAGATTTCATGTGAAATTCCCCTAACTACTGAATTGAACTGTCTCTAGGTCATGGCCCATGAGCTGTTCTCCAGCTTTAGTCTCAGATTCGCTGGATAATAAATGGTGACCAAACACCAGGGAAAAGCTGTGTCCTG